GTCCTCACGCCCACCGACGAGGCCTTTTCCAACTCACGCTGCTCTTCCCACTCTTTCTGCCCCCTCTCGTTCTCTTTGTTTCGTTGTCCTAAACAACACGAGTTGATGGAAGTAAGGCCTCCGCAGCCCACCTGTCCTCTTTTGACACCTCCCACTCTTTCTGCCCCCTCTCGTTCTCTTTGCCCCGATTTGCCTCCAGGTATCGCCAAGGAGCTCCCTGCAGCAATGAGCTACTACCGCCTCACCGTCCTCGCACCCACGGACGAGGCCTTCGCGAAGCTCCCCGAGAGCGTGACCAAAGGGCTGAGCAAGGCAGCGATGCGGGAAATCACAATGTTGCACATCGTGAAGGGGAGGAAAACCGCCGCCACTCTCATTCGCATGCAGAGGGAGCACGAGGTGAGTGCGATCTTGTACTCGATGTAAGCTTCTTCCCTGCACTGCTGGTGGGGCTGAGCAAGGCAGCGATGCGGGATGTCATGATGCTGCACATTGTGAAGGGGAGGAAGGATGCCGCTACACTCATTCGCATGCGAAGGGAGCACGAGGTGAGCAGAGCGATGTTGTACTCTATATTAGCCTCTCCATGTTGCAAATCATGCCCCTCAGAATCAATCGCCCCAAGCTGTGTGTGTCTTTTCCTTCCATCCTTTCCCCTCTCTCCTCCCCTCCCCTCGCTTCCAGTGGCGAACTCCCTCTAAGAATGGCGAAGCTGGGCTCTTCAAAGCCACGGAAGCAAAAGTCAAGCCGGTCAAGTTGCACGCAGAGGGCGGCAAGAATGTGACTGTAACGAAGCCAGACTCGGTGCTGCTGACGATCTCCGCCGTCCACGGGATTGACCGCGTGATCATTCCGGGCGGGAAGCTGACCGGCGCGAAAAAGAAGCTGACGCTGAAGGAGTGTTTGGATCTGAGCAATGGAGAGGAGGACTTGGATTATGACAACTAGGTTGTGGTGGGGGGGGGGAAGAGGAGTATGAACTCGACGCGCCTTGGAAAAGAAGCTGACGCTGGAGGAGTGTTCGGATCTGAGCAATGGAGAGGAGGATTTATTACGGTACGATAAATCAAACAGGAGGAGACTATTGCTGATGGGCCTAGAAAAGGGAATTTTTGGATACGAGCAGCGACGGAAATGACGCTCTGTGGAGAAAGCTGAGAAAGCGGTTCTTCTGCTGTGTTGCTGTTGAATGCGAAGCTAACTCTAAAGCTGTTTGTTGTGGGGGTGTGGTAATAAATCGCGATATGAGGATGGTGCTGGTGGAGGGTATAGGCAAGTTGTATGCTTTCTCCATTTATATGCAATGCAAATCTGTGTTTGTAATACACTATGCCTCCTGAAATGCTTCAGGATGTCCAGGCACAGCATTATAAACAGCAAGATGTTCCAGTAAGGGTGCGTTACTGCGGGGACATTTCTCAAGTATGAAACCCTAAAAATGAGCGTCTACACATGAGAGATAATCCAGGATAAGCTACACGTTCTGATCTACACCCTTCACCAACTTGACTCTCTGTAGTCTCTTGCCTACTGCTTAACTCCCTGTACAGCTATCAACATCACAGTATCACTCCCCGCCACAGTCACCTACATCTGATTGTCCCGATACACTCCCTTTGTTACAAGCACCTTTGGTCTTATCACGTCGTTCACTCCATGCACAGCCACCGATCTCAGCATCACAACGTTCCCCCTCGTTACAGTCACCTTCGGCACTTTATCAGTGTACACTCTAACACTCCAATCCCTTTAAGAGATGCCTTCTTTAGCCGCTGAGTGCCGTTGAAAGCAAGAGTGATGTACTGGGTGATTGGTGGGTGGGGGAGGGGGGATTGGGAAGGGGGGACTCACTCGGGGAGAGAAGGGTGGAGAGGGGTGGAGAGGGTTTTGAAGGCGTTGAAACGTACCACCAGCAGCAGAGCTATGCCCATCCGTCCCTCAGCAACCCAAAGTTAGAACCATTTCGCACCCGTCAGCCAAAAGAAATTTCTGGTTACCTGGTGGCCTCTCCGTTGCGAGACGACCTTCGCCAGCCGTTTCTTGCCGTGAACGAAGTTCAGAAGAGCCACGTTTCGCAGAAGCTGCACGTCGCTCCCCAGCAGCTGCGCCAACGCGCGAGGCAAGGCACGAATCGCGACGTCGGTTGGAGCAAACACGGTGGCGTCGCGACAAGAGAGGAAGGACGGAAGTTCAAGGAGAATGCCTGGAAGTAGTACGGGTGGGGGAGAAAGTCAAGAGAGGAAACCCGTGAGTCAAGGCGCGAATCGCGGTATCGGGGACGGAAGGAGAGGAATGATGGAATAATTTCGAAGAATTTCGGGGGTTGAAAACGGAGAACGAGGTTAATTTCAGAATCCCGAGGGGCGAAGTCCGTTGCCGCAAGGCGGCACGAGAGTAAGGAAAAAGATTTTGCAAGCCAGGATGGAGACGTGACGTCTCTATGAGAATGGGGACGAGAATGGGGACGAGAATGGGGACGGTTTTAAGGAACTGAATGGCGAAAACGGCGGCATCGCGGCATAGGACAGGAAGTGTGGCGGGATCGGAGAGCTCGCTGAATGATTTGCTCGAGCCGCACCCGTATCATTTAAAATCTCTGAGAACAGCTCGAATCCGTTCGATCTAAGCCCTCTGACGAGTCGCCTGGTTACCACCGAACCATTGTATTTCGCGGGACCCCCGCTACTGCAAGATTCGATTCCATTAATAGAGGAGGCCGTAGATCTCGAGGGAAGATTTTTCGCTTCGCCAAAAGAACTAATTTGGACCGTCGCATGGAGGCAAAACCAGCACGCAATCAGAACGATGGTCCGTGAACTCGAACACATTGCTTCCAATCAACACTCAATTTATGATCTTGCATGTCAGTTAGCTTGCTTTGTAACGGAAGCTATGACCTTTCAAGAAGAGTCTTCCTGTTGCAAAACGTTTCTCTGAACGCTTGCGACGACACCCTTGCTCTTGCTAGTGTGTCTACTTGGCTCATTGCTGCTACCAGCGCAAAACAAAGAAATGATCATATGAAGAAACGGGCCAGCCAGAAGTAGAGGGAGGAGGAGATGCTTAGAAGTTACCAGCTCCAGGTTACCAGCAAGAGAAAAAGTTATACCATGCTTACGAGTCTTTTGGTTTCGCAGAATCTCGTATATGCGATCGTTTTCGCAGTCTGCCCGTCCGCGAGGCTCATGAAAGGCACGAGATGCAAGCTGCCGCATTTTCTTCGCAGTAGGGTGCTGCCCGCCCGATCTTGCGCCGCCATTGCCATTTGTGATGTGTTTGTCTTGGAGCGGCTGCGGTTTCGTGAGTTCCTTCCTGCCTTACGAAGCAGACTCCACGAAGTTACACGACATCTTAGCGAAGATGCCTCCTATAGAGAGAAACGCCATTTTGGCAGATCAGGTGTGCAAATTGGTAACCGGATGACAAAGCGTTGCTGACGAGACGCACATTTCGTGAGGTTTCTAATGGGAATTGATCAGACTGGGGCCCCGGGTTAGCAGAAACAGTGCCAACTTGGGGCCTCGTGAGTCGCGACCCTACGAAATAGGCCCGAAGCAAATCACAAGACTGGGCAGCAGGTCCGAACCTGGCAAACTCGCCAGGTCACCACCTACTGCCTTGGGTTTGACGGAAATCGCTAGCACCCCACACCGCTGGAAGCACAACAATCCGTCAAACCAACACAGTCTGATCGAGATACAGCACAAGCAGCATGTAACAAACAACTCGGAATTATTACGGAAACATAAGACTGCCAGAACACAAAGAGCTGAAACATGAAAATTAATAAAATGAGTGGGCACAAAATGGGGAGGTTCATGACCTTTTTCTGTTAGAGAAATTTCAACCAACCTACCCACATTCTTTCAGAATATGTATACATACATATATGATTTACATGCAAGTGCTTCCCTTGTAAAATCTTCGATGAAAAATCTTCTACCGTATTCCCCCGGATATACCACCCTAGGGTGCTATGATAACTACACAAAAAAAAGGGGGGGTCTTGTCATCGGAAAAAGCTTCATTGCACCCGGGTCTTTACATAATGTGTATTTTTTTTATAGCGTAAAACGATTAGTACTAAATGTACATCTGTATTTTTGTTTTACATCTGTACTAAATCGTTTTACGCTATAAAAAAAATACACATTATGTAAAGACCCGGGTGCAATGAAGCTTTTTCCGATGACAAGACCCCCCCTTTTTTTTGTGTAGTTATCATAGCACCCTAGGGTGGTATATCCGGGGGAATACGGTAGAAGATTTTTCATCGAAGATTTTACAAGGGAAGCACTTGCATGTAAATCATATATGTATGTATACATATTCTGAAAGAATGTGGGTAGGTTGGTTGAAATTTCTCTAACAGAAAAAGGTCATGAACCTCCCCATTTTGTGCCCACTCATTTTATTAATTTTCATGTTTCAGCTCTTTGTGTTCTGGCAGTCTTATGTTTCCGTAATAATTCCGAGTTGTTTGTTACATGCTGCTTGTGCTGTATCTCGATCAGACTGTGTTGGTTTGACGGATTGTTGTGCTTCCAGCGGTGTGGGGTGCTAGCGATTTCCGTCAAACCCAAGGCAGTAGGTGGTGACCTGGCGAGTTTGCCAGGTTCGGACCTGCTGCCCAGTCTTGTGATTTGCTTCGGGCCTATTTCGTAGGGTCGCGACTCACGAGGCCCCAAGTTGGCACTGTTTCTGCTAACCCGGGGCCCCAGTCTGATCAATTCCCGTTTCTAATCGCAATGCGTGTCTGACGGCTCCCGAAAGCGTACTGGCACTGCCACGTCAATCACGTAACGTGGCGTCGTTCGATATCACATGCGCGCTTCTGAGTGCATCGCCAGTGTTTGAATAAATTCTGGTTACGGTAAGAGTAATCTTACTGGTTACGACGAAAACCTCAATGGAAGAGAACAATCTGATAAAATGTTGTGTTGTGTGAGTTTACGGTGCTAGGTATCGAAGTTCCTACGGCTCTTTACAATCACACGGGGATGTACATTTTCGTGATCCACTCGCGGGGAAGGGCACCCGCCATGCCAAATATATTTTCCCAAGCATGGACAAGCCAATTCACCGCGGCGCAACTGTGACGACCAGGCCGAGGTGCCACGTTGACTGGCTGGGGCTGGGGTGGTTTGGAACTTGCCAAGCCCGACTGGTCCAGCTCAGCCACATCACATCAGCACGTGTTTCTCGTAATTGCCGCGCCGCCCGGGCTGGACGCCCTCCTCACGAGTGCTGCATGGCATTTGACCCGGGTCCCACACCAAAGCAAGCCGCACAGACAAACTCGAGGTGAAATCGCGTCTCGCGTCTCATGTACTGCACATCTCATCCGTCCATCGTACGGCTGCAGTTTTACAACCTTCGATCCGCAGAAAACCAATCTCAAGGCTGCCACACCATCCCATCATCACCACGCACCACACCCAAGCCAGTCACCAGACCCCTTATCTCATCTCCTCTCATTTGTGCTGGGACGCACATTTCACATAGCTCTGCTTCAGTCCACTCCGGGTTGCACAGGGGTGTTGTTCCGCCCGCTGCGGAGCACCGAATTCCTCGTCCGACCAACGCTGGCTCCGTTTTCTTCGCCTTGCTGCATGGGTCTTTGACTGCAGCCAGCGTAATTTTCGACGCCCCGCTGCTTGGGTCTTTGACCGCAGCTAGCGTGGCTGGCGGCGGGTGCCGCAGCTAGTTTTCTTTGAAGTATCCCAGACTCTCAGACTGGAGGTTGCCTATTTCGAGCGTGTCTCTTGGGGAAGCTGGCCTTATCGAGGTTGAATTATCATCCTGCTTCCCGAGATTCTGGTGTCCTGTTTTCCTGATTGCAAATATATTTTTTCTAATTGGAGTCCTTTTCCACAGTACTCTCCTAGCTTATTCAGACAGTCGCTGAACATGGTGAGCTACGTCGATGGGCCAGAGCATTCACCTCCCGTCGCCGGGCGAATAATAGGCGGTCGCTACCTTCGCCTGCGAAAGATCGGGACCGGGTCGCAAGGCGACGTATGGGAGTGTGAGGACATCCGCACGTCGCACCGCGTCGCATGCAAGTCCTTCTCCCCGTCCACGCGACGAACCAAATCTTCCGTGGCCGTACTCGATATAGACGAGGAGATGCGCGCGCTACAAACCCTCGGCGGGCACCCGAACGTCGTACGCCTTATAGACTTCTTCGTCGATGCGACAGAAGTCCATATCATAATGGAACTTGTACAGGGCGGGGATTTGTGCACAGAAATCTGCGAGAACGGGCCACTGCCGGAGCCGCTGGCTGCTACAGTGCTGCGGCAGCTCGCATCCGCTGTTGCTTTCTGCCACGCTAACGGCGTCGTGCATCGCGATATCAAGCCGGAGAACGTGCTGCTGGTGCGGCCTGTGCAGGAGGAACCAGAGGATATGCGTCCGTCGCCCCTCAGCTTTCTCACACCAGAGACGAGAGAAAACGCGTTGCTACGAAAAGGGGGACTTCGTGGCGAGCAGGAAAAGAGTTCGATCATGGACACGGCTCTGAGGAACAGGACGAATATCGCAGCACTCTTATCGAGTACGGGCCCTGTAACGGAGCAGAACTGTGCCGATACGAGCCCGACCGGCTTTCCGCAGAGTCTGCCGCTTTTCCAATCACCGCCTCCACACCCACCTTCAGAAACGACCTCCCCTCCTCGGACCGCAACTGACATCCCTTGCACTCCTGAGGCAACTTCGAAAGCGACCCCGGTTCGTCCATCCGTGTTCTCGCGCTTCGGAAGGCTGAAGATCCAGCAGGCCTTGGCGCATCGGCTAGGTCACGTGGGCGCGGGGCGCGGGATAGTCGGAGTGAAGCTGGCGGATTTCGCGCTATCGACGACCGTGGATGGCGGCATGTCGGGGCAGAAGCACGGGCAGGGAGCGGGCACGCGCATGTACATGGCCCCTGAAATGAAGCGCCAGGGATTGGAAAGGGGCTCGGGAGAGGGGAGAGGTGGAGAGGGAGGAGGTGGAGGGAGGAGAAGAGGAGTGACGGAAGGGGTGAGAAGAATGTGGTGGGAGGTGGAGAAGGGGGAGGAGGAGGAGGAGGAGAACATTTTCGGTTTTATGGGTGTAAGGCAGATGTTTGGAGCCTAGGTGTGACTCTGTGCGTGATTCTAACGGGGCTTATTCCGGTTTTCGACCAATCAGGTTGCTTGGATCTCGGTGACCCGGTTTGGAGACGCGTTTCTTGGGCAGCAAAGGATCTGATCCGTAAGATGCTGCAGGTGGACCCGAATCAACGGCTGAGCTCGTTCGAGGTTCTGGAGCACCCGTGGCTGAATCAGAGGGCGGTTCGGATGAGAGACATTGCGACCCGGTGCCCGAACCTGCTCTTCCCGCTGCTTCCTGCCCCTGCTGTAAAGACTCTGCGGGCTTAATGCTCTCACAACGCAAGGGTTGAGAGGCACTGCCACTTGGTGCTCGAACCTGCTCTTTCCTCTGCTTCCTGCCCCTGCCGTAAAGACTCTGCGGGCTTGATTCTGTCACAATGCAAGGGTTGAGAGACATTGCGACCCGGTGCTCGAACCTGCTCTCTCCTCTGCTTCCTGCCCCTGCCGTAAAGACTCTGCGGGCTTGATGCTCTCACAACGCAAGGGTTGAGAGACACTGCCACTCGGTGCTCGAACCTGCTCTGCTTCCTTCTCTCTCCTCTGCTTCCTGCCGCTGCTGCCAAGACGCTGAAGGCTTGATGCACTCACAACACCTGAATTTCCCTCTCCAACAGTCCCTACCTCCCCGCCCCCGCCTGCACACACACGCCATTGCGGCTCCAGCAACGTTGAACGCCCAAGTACACTTCGCCATGGGTTGACAGAGACCATTGTTATATGGTGTATGAACCTGCTTTTCTTTCAGCTTTCTGCTCCTGCGATCAAGACATTAAGGGCTAGACACATACTCAGAGATAGCCCAACATTCATACTTTCCATTCTAAACCTGAAACCCTCTCCTTTTTACTCTTTGCCTCCTCTCAGCCCTTCGGACTACACCTTCATCCTTCACCTGCCTTTCACAACTCACCTTTCACCTGCTTCCTGCCGTTCACCCTTGACCTCCTCTCATTTAGAATCAAAAATCAAAATCACCTGCTCTCTGCCGTCACCCATGCTCCTTTTCCCAGCAGCACCACAAGCTCATACCAGTTACCACGCCTTTCCCCTCCATTGCTGCTTCTACATTGCTGCTCCAATAAGGAAGAGGGCTTCCACAAGCTTTCGCTACAGTTTTGAGGTTGGGGTTTACACGGAAAATGGTTAGCATGGCAAGATATCAGAAGTTGGGTTGATGAGGTTTTGGGAAGTTATTGGTAAGGAAATAAAGGGGGCGTTGAATAAGCTACGGCCTGTAGCAGCACTCGATGTCACTATACTATTCACACTGTTAATGTGATCAATACATGTACATCCAAGTTTTATCACAGTTCCTTCATCCTAATAATTTGGACTTACTACAAACCAATCAGAGAATCCTTTCACGCAATAATATTTTAGATTCATGTCACAGCAAGTTGATTTCAATTTTTGAAAAGTGAGCCGGAAAGTTTTACCGTAGATTGTAGCGAAACCAAGGTAACTCGAAGATTTTCCGTACCTGCGCAAGTATTTGTTTATTCACTACGTACTTAGGCCGTGTGGGTATCGTTAGGAGCTTTCACGATACCCAGGCTTGATCGAAGCTATGGCGATCGTGTCACAAATAGCTGCTGTCACTTCGAACGTCACAGGAAGCCTAAATCGGTTCTCGGTGCAACCGCTGGGGCCCGCAAAGTTACGCACAGGGCAGAAGGTACGTCGCAGGAAGTATTGTCGCAGGTAGTTATTAAACACCAACGATTAGGGTTTCACGAAGTTGTTGACTCAATTCTGATTTCCGAGTTTCTTAATCTCAGTCGCATTCATGTCTGTGCGTCTCTTGACTTCATGACATTGTCTCGGTCTCTTGACTCACTGTTTCCAAATACTTAAGCCGTTCAGGTGTGTTTTGAGTCGACTCAAATACTTGCCGTGCAGGCTTCTCATTTGGCAATTCCGCTCCGCAGGCGTCAATTTCAAGTCACAGCGTCCCAGGACCAGCAGCGGCAAGGTATGCCCATTGACAGACGCGCACCGTTCGCTGCAGTCTCATTGACAGACGCGCACCGTTCGCTGCAGCACCGTTCGCTGCAGTCTCATTGACAGACGCGCACCGTTGACGAGCGCAGCAAGGAGGTGCTTGACGCCTTTTCCTCCATCTACCCCTTCCCTCCCCACGTACGTTGAGCGGCAAGGTATGCCCATTGACAGACGCGCACCGTTCGCTGCAGCAGCGGCGTCCCATTGACAGGCGCGCACCGTTCGCTGCAGTCACAAATTTTATAGACGTTCAACAGGCGATGCAGCCGGGTTCAATCCATTGCAGCACAACCATTCAACGTAGTGCTTGTCGTTTTTTTTTTTTTCTTTTTTTTTTTTTTTTCCATTTGCTCCCACCCTCCGGGTCTCTTCCGCATTTCCTTGAATGGAAGTGCTCTGCTCAACCCCCTCTATCCTTCACTCCCTCGCACAACTATCGTTGATGTGATGAGTGCAGCAAGGACGAGCTTCATCCGCTCTTACTGTTTACTCCCCACCCCCCCACCGTTTTTTACTCCCCCCCACCGTTATTTACTCCCATCCACCCACCGACCCCCTCCCCCAACCACACCCCGCTTTACACCCCCACCCCCACCCCCACCCCCACCCTCCTCTATCCATCTCTACCCTCCGGTAGTGAGCGCAGCAAGGAGGTGCTTGATGCCTTCTTTTCCTTCCATTCACCTCTGTCCATCCTCCCTCCCTCCCTCCCCTCCTCCCCTACTTCCCTTCCCTCTCCCCTCCTCCCTCCTCCCCTCTCTCCCGCCCTTGGCTGCCCCCTCCTTCCTTCCTCCCAGCACAACCATCCGGTGATGAGCGCAGCAAGGAGGTGCTCGACGCCTTCTTTCCCCTCCATTCACCCTCACCCCCTCCATTCTTCCGCCCAGCACAACCATCCGGCGATGAGCGCAGCAAGGAGGTTCTTGATGCCTTGCCTTCTCCTCCATTTATCCCCTCCTTACTCCCTCCTCTTCCCCTCTCTCCCTTCCACTTCCTCCCCCCACCCCCCACCCCCCACCCCCCACCCACCACCCACCACCCAGCACAACCATCCGGTGATGAGCGCAGCAAGGAGGTTCTTAATGCCTTCCCCTCCATTCACCTCTGTCCACACTCCCATTCACCCCAAGATTTTACCTCTCCCCAGCACAACCATCTGGTGATGAGCGCAGCAAGGAGGTTCTTGATGCTTTCTTCATAAAAACCCCTTCTTTCTCCCCCTTCCCCCCCCCCCCCTCTCCCTTCCACTTCCTTCCCCCCCCCCTTCCGTCCTCCCAGCGCAACCATCTGGTGATGAACGCAGCAAGGAGGTGCTTGACGCCTTCCCCTCCATTCACCTCTGTCCACACTCCCATTCACCCCCCCACCCACCCATATTTTACCTCTCCCCAGCACAACCATCCGGTGATGAGCGCCGCAAGGAGGTTCTTGACGCCTTCTCCTCCATTTAAACCCCTTCTTTCTCCCCCTCCCCCCCCCCCCCCCCCCCCCCCCCCCCCCCTCTCCCTTCCACTTCCTTCCCCCACCCCCTTCCGTCCTCCCAGCGCAACCATCTGGTGATGAACGCAGCAAGGAGGTTCTCAATGCCTTCCCCTCCATTCACCTCTGTCCACACTCCCATTCACCCCCCCTCCCACCCCTTTTTTCTCACTCCCCAGCACAACCATCTGGCGATGAACGTAGCAAGGAAGTGCTTGACGCCTTTTTTCTCGGCAAGGCCGTAGCAGAGGTGGTATCAGAGCGGGTGGGGTCGGCTGTGGGGGAGATTCTGAGTGAAGTGGGGAGGCGACAGGCCGAGCAGCAGCAGCAACTGAAGCAGTTCCAGGTGAGAATGTGAGGCTTTATACAGAAGTGTTTTTTCCAGTGTTTTCTCGAGCAAGTCAAACCAGAGAAGGTGTTGGTAGGCAGGAGCGAGTGGGTTCGGCTGTGGGGGATTCTGAGTGAGGTGGGGAGGCGACAGGCCGAGCAGCAGCAGCAACTGAAATTGTTCCAAGTGAGCTTTTGAGGTTCCAAGTGGGCTTTTGATACAGAAGTGCTGTCTACTGACCTGACCCGGATCCTTATCGTACTTGGAAGCAGCTTGCGTGTAGCTTGTCTGCATGGGCCTTATCAGCCTTGCCATGAATGGGAGAGTTAGCAGTGAGTGCATGTTAAACCAATGTGGCTGTTTGTGTCATCTTGATTCACGTCTGGCAGGAGGAGGTGAAGGAGAGGGCAAGGGAGGCATTGGAACGGGCAGCCAAGGATGCCAAACGATAAGCAGGATCTTGAGGTTTACATGGGGTACATCTGATTCGCAGCTGCACCTACCGCATGATATTGGGTGACGGGGGTTTGAAGTCATACTGGTTCGTCCCACAATCGACCTGCACTTATGTGGGCATACCGGGTCTAGATGATTAGATGTGTCAAGACAAAGTAGCTGGCAGACGATTATGCTGTCTGTTGCAGTGTGACTTCAAGTGCAATAGTACCATGGCAGCAGATAAAATAAATTCATACAGCAATGCAAGAATTGGGGATAAGCTGTGGCTGCTAAAATCAATGGGTAATGTGGGATCACGGAGGCTTCTACCCTGACAGCCTGCCTAGAATGCATCTCCAGTGCACCTAGACTCCAGACCCTAGTGTTTTTAGGAGCGTCTGGATCAAATCACATAATCGTCTCCTTGGTGAGCCCCCATACCTCAGACAAACTCTCCCTCCAGGGGTTATTTCTCCTGGGAAGATGATGGACTCCCAGCAGCAACCGACCTTCTAGCCATTCTCGTCTCTAGCACCTCAGAAGTTCCTTAGGCATTCAAGGCTCAGTGGTAACGCTTGACGAGGTTTCGGCAACAGCTCTTTCTGTGAAGGTGACTCTGCCTGCAAAAGCTCTCTGAACTGCTGCTTCCAGGCTCTCCTTGAGCAAATTCTCCCTGTCAGCATCCTCAATAAGGTCACAACCCTGTACAAGTAAGTCCTCCTTATATCGGGTGCTGCCAGCGACGTCTGCTTGGACGTCCTCGTACAGATTCCGCACCGGATTGCGTGAAGAGCGGTACTTATGTAAGAGCCGGCGTAGAGTTCTGAGCCGTTGCATCCACTGCTTCTTGGAAGCTTGTTCTTGAGCTGCACGCTGGCGTTTAACTGAAACGGAAACCGTCAACAGTGAATGCAGGTAGGGTTGGGTAAATACATGAACGGCTCAGCCTTGCAAGCAGGTTTAAGAGTCCAACAAAGACGGGTGAAGAAGATAAACCTGCTAGAGTGCTTCACTGGGTGGAACAAAATAAATAGAAACACGTACAGTGGATTAAATCTGGGAATTGCTTTTAACGGGACTCACTTTGCCACGCGTGCCCGTTATCGCGCTTCGCCGCCATGAGTAGACGCATGCAAAGGCACGTGGAACGCATGAAAAGGGTCGGATTCCGGAATGGGACGGAGCGATCGGCTAGCCGATGAAGCTGTGCAATCTGCCCAGTTTGCCCTCCGTTGAGGGAGACTCCGTTAGGATACCCTCCGTTGAGATCAACTTCAACAGCGACAAGCGCCATAATAAACCTCTAAACCTTATGACAAATCAATCAACAGGTAAGGTGGTATTGTAGCTTGGAGAATCGATACTAATCTAATCAGGCCATGATCGTGTGAAGCGTAATGATAGAAGAGCAGTTGCTTTCAGGCGAAAGAAGGGAGAGAACGGAAGAGATGTGGCTGCATCTATGACCACCATCTCAAGCCAAATAAATACTACTGAATGAATGAGTGATCACAAACCCATGGTGGTTGAGAGTTATGGGTCAGTCCGCCATGCTGCTGTTGTGTATGCTCTGGTGGTTCTGCTGGTTCTGCTGCTTTTCTGCAAGCAGAAAATCGCCAGACAGGATTTGTGGAGACGAATTCCGTCATCAGAAAGGTTGAGGGATCGGAAAGCGTCAGCTCCACGGAAGGTGGAAAGTGGTGAGCTGGCTTGGCGGATGGGGAGGGAGGGGAAAGAGGGAAAGGGGAGAATCCCAAGGGGTGATTGGCTGCGGAGACAGGGTGCTGTGGGGTCCGGGGGAGGGGAGGGAAGTGGGGAAGCGGGAGAGAGGTCGCGTGCGCTTCAAGCTCTCCCGAGTCCACCTGACAAATCCCGGCATCTGTGCACCATGGGGAGCCCGCGCGGAATAGCTCTAGTATTGCACGGAAGTCTTTCAGTGATTTACAAGGTTGATGGGCGAGCCGCGGGATGTCCCAAGCCACACTTTTTTGCGGCTCACTGGGTTCAGGGTTTGTGGAAAGAACAATTGAACTGGAACATTTTGAAACGTGAGCGATTCCTACCTAGTGTTAGCAAGTGTATTCATCAGCTGAGGTTCTATCGGATCGGGGATATCGCGTGCCAAGCATTACCCGGCCGCGTGACATTTCCACGAAAACCACACTTCATAACGAAGTTCGCTGACGTTCCAGTTTCCAGTCGCCACGCACTATCTTCAGATTCTTTGGCCCGACCTGGCCACATCATCTCAAATCCACGTGGAACCCCGACGCGGTGACGCCAATTGTGGTCCCCCGCTGGGTTGCAGATGTGAAATCCATGCGTGCTCTTCCTACAGATCAGTGGTCCCATCCCATCAGCTTCCTGCTTTCGCTCCTCGTCCAGCTCACACGATTGGACCACAACAGACTCCAGCTAGCAAGCCATTTTTCATGCAGGGGAGGGGAACCAGAGAATCCATCAAAACCAGGGAGTCTACTCTGCTGCATTTCTGTTTCCTGAATCTCTGATATCTTGTCAGCCCAAGCCAGAAGTTTCAGCAAACCAGGCATCCTTGCGGAATTAGAAGCAACCTACTCATTGCGTGACTCGCGGGGGTTCTGGGATTGCTGCTCGTTAGTTACCACGCTTAGCTGCGTGATATACTTGCACTCTGGTTTGGTAGTTCCGAAGGGTTTCATTCTCCTGCTCGGATTTGCCTAGCGTTCCGACTGGATCAGGTAGATTACCATCGAGAAAAAAGCTGTAGTGATTTGTCTACATTTCGCCCTTCATCGCGGAATCTTTTTCTCGAAGGGAGCTCAATTGACTCTGACAATAACTTTTCGCCTTTGCAGAGACATGGCTAATCCGTTCCAGCGCTTGCTGACCGAGCTGCCGAACCCCGATGGCGGCTCCTTTGGCTCTTTCTACAGCCTTCCTGCTCTCAATGACCCTCGCATCGGTACCTTTGTCTACCATCGCTAGCTTTTTCTTTCTTCCCTCTTGTCCAGTCAGATTTCGTTCTTTTTGATCCGTCTACTTAACTATTGCTTCTTTATCCTGCAGATGAGCTGCCAATCTCCATTCGATACCTTCTGGAGTCCGCCATTCGTAACTGCGACAACTTCCAGGTCATGGAGAAGGACATTGAGAAGATTCTTGACTGGGCCAACACCTCCCAGCACCAAGTCGAGATCCCGTTCAAGCCAGCGCGTGTCATCCTGCAGGTACGCACTCGCCTTTCTCGTTTTGTTCGCTGTTCTCGTTAAATTTAGTCGAACGTGTGGTTGGATTGCGCCGTGTCGCGTGTTGCAGTACCCTGTGGATCATGCCTGACGGCTTTGTGTGTGGGAATTTCTTGTGCTTGTACTGTTCTGTCAGGACTTCACTGGCGTTCCTGCTGTTGTGGATCTTGCTGCGATGAGGGACGCCATGAAGGCGTCCGGCGGCGATCCCTCTGCCATCAACCCTCATGTGAGTTTCAATCTACCAGCTAATATTTATTCCGACTGAAAGCTACCCCATCTCACACTTCCGCGGAATTTCAAGAATTTATGCCGCCTTGACTGAATGGTCTAATCTTGTGCACCTTCTGAGGCTCTTTGGACAGGGGGGAAAGGGGGGGGAGGGAATCCGAAGCGCTAAACCTTCTGAAACGCCTCAATGTCAATCCTGTCCTTCCTCAACCACCCCCCAACTTCCCCCCCCCCCCCCCCCCCCCCCCCCCCCCCCCCAACCCAGGTGCCCGTGGATCTGGTGATTGACCACTCGGTGCAGGTGGACTACGCGGGGGCGTCCAACGCGCTGAGCCTTCGGAGGCGCCTCAATGTCAATTCTATCCATTTTCCCCCTTCCCTTCCCCACTTCCCTACCAGGTGCCGGTGGATCTGGTAATAGACCACTCGGTGCAGGTGGACTACGCGGGGGCGTCCAACGCGCTGAGCCTCAACATGGAGCGCGAGTTTGAGCGCAACAGGGAGAGGTTCGCGTTCCTCAAGTGGGGCTCCAAGGCCTTCAGCAACATGCTCGTCGTGCCACCTGGTGCTGGCATCGTGCACCAGGTCAGTGCTCTGCTGGTCCTTTGTGGGGCTCTTAGAATGGTTCTTTGGATCACCTGGACTTGACACCGTGCACCAGTCGAATGCCCTGGCGGTCTTTGGGGGAAAGCTCTCAGGATGGTCTTTGGAGGACCTGGCACTGGCATCATGCACCAGGTGAGTTATCTGGAGTGATCTGGCTTTGCCATCGTGCATCAGGTGAGTGCCCTGGCTGTTTCTGAAAGGGGCTCTCAGGATGGTTTCTTTGAGTACCTGGTGTTGGCATCATGCACCAGGTGAGTTATCTGGAGCCGCCTGGTCGCCTATAAACTGTTCAGTTCAGAGGCATGGGTTTCAAATAATTGGCACAAAAACTTTGTCCTCACTATTGCTCACATTGCATTGTGGAAAGCCAAACGGGTCTTGCCATTTGATGGGTAAAGCGCAGGTGAATTCTGAGTACATGGCACAGGTGGTGATGGACATCAACAATCTCCTCCTTAGGTTTCTAGAAATTCGAAAACAATTTGGGTTGTATGTTGCTGCGTTGCACGTGCAGGTGAATTTGGAGTATCTCGCACGGGTGGTGATGGACATCAACGGCCTCCTCTACCCTGACAGCGTCGTCGGCACCGACTCCCACACCACCATGATTGACGGGCTCGGTGTCGCCGGCTGGGGCGTGGGCGGCATCGAGGCCGAAGCAGCCATGCTCGGGCAGGCCATGAGCATGGTCCTACCCCAAGTCGTGGGCTTTAAGCTCACGGGAAAACTCCAGCCGGGTGTCACGGCCACGGACCTCGTCCTCACATGCACGCAGATGCTGAGGAAGCACGGCGTGGTGGGGAAATTCGTGGAGTTTTACGGGGAGGGGACAAGGGAGTTGTCTCTAGCGGACCGGGCGACGGTGGCGAATATGTCGCCCGAGTATGGGGCGACTATGGGGTTTTTTCCGGTGGATGCGGTGACACTGCAGTATTTGAGGGTGACCGGGA